TTTGGACATGTTTTTTGCTCCTAAATATGTAGGTAAAGATACATGTAAAATTTCGCTAAACCCATAGCAATTCTCAATTATGAGAAGAAACATCAAAAGTATCAACAGTTATAATTTCTCATAGTACAATTATATTTCTCTAATAACTTCCTTTTGTTTTTTCTTTGCCTGAGAAGTGGAACAAGCGGTACTTGGTTCGTACCACATTAGCACAGCGGATTTATGAAGCATTGAATCGTTACACACTGTCGAACACCATTAACTTAAACATTTCACTCTGAAAATACTGCTTTTGCGTTTAACTGATCCCCATTCATTACAACGGAATAAATAAACAGCTAAAGGTCATTGTACTAATACGAGTTGCATAATGTCATCTGTCAGTCATTCAGCCATCTTTTTTTTCTTTGGCAAATTTTTTCAGCCATCTTTGTTTAATGAAAATAAAAAAAATCAAGCATCATTTGACATGACGTTATTATATTATTATTATTTTTTTTTAGTTTATCGCGGGTTCGGCGGAATCCAAACGAGGTTAACCACCAAAAAGGATGTAATTTCCTACCAACCTATTTGATAAGATTAATCGTAATCTTGATGGTTAGATTTTATCATCAGGAAAAATTAGCACCTGCCTACGGTTTTCGTTCATTCATATTGTTTTACCTAAAATGAAAACCTACATAAATGGCAATGGTAATAAAGTACACGGATAAGGCTGTAACCATTAGCCAGAACACGCTACACTAATTGCATATTTTATTATAGGTCTGTTTATTTATAGAGAAGTAGGTTTTGTGGGCAATAAAAAACACGAGTATTGTCACCTTTACCTGGCTAAATCATAAAAACTTGAATAAACAGAATAAAGCTGTCATGTTCTAGATTACATTACCACGAGGTAGGTACTGACAAAATAATGGTGATAGTGTTAACACAACGGTTATTATTACATTTGCAGTACCTACTTAAATATTTTCGATTATAGGATTCGAAGAAGTAATTAGTTATCATTTTTAAACATAATTTACATACACGAAATTAACATTTAGATAAAGAACATAATTTCGAACAACATTCTTTAATGGCTTTGGTTAAGTACTGGCTGGAAAGAAAAGAAATGTCACAACATTTTACGCTATGGAACAAAAAGAGCGGTTTCAATGACGTCACATCCGCATGCATTCTCGGTCAAGTTAATTGTCAATGGTGATCGGGGGTTATTACACGAGGAACAATGCGTTACTAAATGGTAACATTACTGTAGATATCATAGCATTCTTCGAAGTCATTACACTTGTACATTTCACCGCTCTTTGAATGATAACTAAGTAAGTTTTTTTTTAATTATTACAAGCAAGGTGATCGACAAATTTGTACGTTTGTCTTCGTGTATTTGTTATGCTTTTTTTGGAGAGAGTATCAGAATCTTACTGACTAAAAACCTCATTCCTGCTTCTGCTTCGAGCCGGAGCCCCGGTAGCTCACAAGGTTGTCTGATTTGTTGTGGTGCCTGGTATCGTAGCTCCCAAATGTATGAACAGATATTAAAATAGTGATATTTGTTCGAAAGCAAAATATCTAATGCATGGCCAGTTTAACACGTCAACCGCCGCGTAGGTCACCGGTGACCTACGTCAGCGAAGGATTTGCCTTCAGCAGTTTTCTGTCGGCAGTCAAAGGCTTAAAGGCGTCTAAACTGTAGTTGATAACTAAACTCCTATTTATTATTATTAACGTATGTAGTGCGTGGTTGAATAGATTGATGGATAGTTTATTTACACTTCCAACCACAAAACGGATCGAGTTAAAGCTATGTCGACCATGACCTGGAATAACGCTTACGAAAATATAATCTCAAACAACAGAATAGAACATTTTACTGAAATAACCCCAAAGTTATCGATGCTGAATAAACCTGTAAAACCTCCAACTGTAATAACACTAGCTTCTGCCAGCGGCTTGGTTCGTTACCGTGGGGTAAAAAGTAACCTATGTGTTTTTTGAGTAACAAATGGAGTTTCTTGCTAGTTCTTCTCCATTCGAATCTACATTTTGGAATGAGCACCTAGCTTCACCTAGCTTCACTGACGGACTCACTGACAGACTATTATTTATATTGTATTTGTTGACGTTTCAAAAGTACCAAATTATGGTTTAATTTAAACTGTCAAATACCAAGCGGTCACCGGTGACCGCAACCTATTGTTCTATAATTGTGTCTACAAAACCGGTACTCGACGAGTTAAATAAATGCTTTGACTTTTTTTACTTTTTCCGCACTATATCCTATCCCTGTGCCAAATTTCATCCCGGTCTCTTCAACGGTCTCAACGTGTAGAAGTAACAACGAAGACAAACATTCACATTTGTAATATTAATAGGATAGTAGGATTATCCACTCTTATAATTTAAACTTCTCCTCTAACTATTGACATCTTCCGCTCACAAGTCTCTCCCTCAATCAAATATCATTTTCCTCTTACACAAGATATGAATTCGTCAGATACACAAAAAACCAGTTGATAAGAGCCATACAGTTCCATGGACACAGGTTCTTGGCCCGCTGGTCAACGTTCGACTAGTGAGCAGAACGGGTCGGCCTTGCCGTTCCGGTGCCCGAGTAGAACAAGCACGATTATCTGTAATGACGATGGATAAGTCTTTGTATCTGTGAAGGATTGGTGATGCTGTAATAATAATACTTATGCTTATGCATTTAGGGGTTATTTTTAAGGGAATACGTGTAGTGATAATAGGCTGTTTTGGGTCCAAGAATATTTTGTTGCAGATAATAATTCTTTTAAAAAATAAATCAATGACAATATTATGTAACTTTGCATCACTTACGTCTTTTGTTTTTAGGCTAGACCTACACACGAATAAAATAAGGACTAGTTTTCACCGGCTTTCTTCGTTCAGTGTTCTGTAGAGTCACGGGGCCAGTAGAATACCAGCGCAAGGCCCTGTCTCGCACATACTGAACTGGTTTTTTTTTTTCATTTCACCCCAAACTTAGGACATGAACATTTACCCATTAGTATTTCTAAACTAACAGTATAATCTGTATATGTCTTGCTTTTAGCGTGTAAAATAAAGATTTCTATTTCATTATTTTTCTTGTAAAAAAACTCCTTTTATCTCATACAATGCACACTTTTCAAAGAAGTAAGAGAAGCAGACATTTCTCTAGAACCTTCCAGTCGATATATTTGGAAACCCACCAACGGATAACTTATTAAGTATCGTCATTAATGAACCGTATGCCGAAAGCATAGCGACTATAGCACGTGATTGTTTTTTTAATTAATCTATTGAATCGTTTACCTTGTAGACAGTTGAACGATCGACGAATTAAAATTAGATTTGTAGAATAAAATGCTTGCTTAACACAAATAAGAGTGAATAATTTACATTTAAGTGTGCTCGGTCAGAAGTAAGACTGATTCATTTGAATGAATGCAAGCGTTGTCGTAAGGTCATTAGATTTTGTGATCGGCCAGTGGCATTTTAGACATAAGCACATCAAACGTGCCTAAACTGTCAGATCTTGATATCACATTTTCAACTTTATTACAAAACATCAGGATTAAAAATAGAGTAGCTTAACCTGCAGTAATGCATTTTTTTATGGGATAAGCCGGTAAACGAGCAGACGGATCACCTGATGGTAAGCAATCGGCGTCGCTCATGGACACCTGGAGCACCAGAGGCGTTACAAGTGCGTTACCGGCCTTCTGGATTAGGAATTTGAGGATTGCTGGGGATTCAGGGATTGGGGAAAGGGGGGGTTAGGGGAAATTGGGCCTCCGGTTACCTTAATCACACGACTAAACGCAACACAACGTTGTTTCACGTCGGTCTTCTGTGAGGCGGTGGTATCACTCCGGTCGAGCCGGCCCTTTCATGCCGAAGCATGGCTCTCCCACACTTAAATTTGAATGTATTCTGTTCTTTACTTTCCTAGCTAGAAAATATAGGAAGCTCGTTTCATATTCTTATAAGTAAAATGCAATTACAAATATGGAATTCGTTCCAAAGCGCTGGCACTTGGCCAGTACAGCTACGTTTTTAAACGTGAAGAGAAACAAAGTAAGGTTGTTTGCTTAAAGCAGCTATTTTTAGTACTGCACCAAGGTTTTAATTGTATTGCTTTGTTAGTGAAAGTGAATTGAGTATTTTACTGTTTGTAGTTTGATTCTGATGCACTTCATTATCATCATAAACAGCCTATAAGTGGCTGACCAAAGGCCTCTCCTCACATGGAGTAGTTTTGACCATTAATCATCACGCTTGCTCAATGCGACTGGTGCACTTACCCACTATTTAAACCTCCTTCATTAATCGTGGTTGTGTGACTGGTAGACAGTGTATGTACAACTGAAACTATAAGTCTAAAAACCAGAACATTCGAAGGTGTCGAGAAAATTTCCTATCAGTACCTATTTCTGTCTTCATCCTCATACAGACAGAACGGAGTGAGAACGAAGTTTTAAAAGCTAATTATGTGTGGACGATTCTTTGTCAAATGCACTTAATACTTGCTGCCAATCCACCGCATCATTACTTTGCCTTGCAATCATAATATTGGATGCGGCAAGCACACTTCAGCCTTGGAGACATGCGTCCCTTGGGACCACTGACCTCGTTTTTGTAAAGGCCTAGCTGGTAGAAACGCTAGTCTTTTAGCTGCTAAGCAAATTAACTTGACTTCAGTTTTAGCTTAGCCCTGAAAGTACCTACTTAATTTTTCTATTTCGTTGAAAAAATTTGACATGTCGACAACCTTTTCACAAAATTAGACGAGAGTTTCCTACTAAGGATAATGAATTAGATCTTCTTGATCTATAACCTGATTTCATCTGAATATAGAGCTACATACTAGGGAAATCTATATACATCGGTGATTGCTAGTAGTTTGAAGACGTATCAGATGTCCATAAATGTATTATAAAATGTACAGTTCAAAAAGTAAAAACAATTTTTCTTTTTGTCCACAGAGGGTGGCGGGATCAAAGTGCGTGCGCGCGGCGCGGTGCGAGAGCGCGCGCGGCAGGTGACCGACGGTGTTCCCGGCTGATGTGGGCGGCGAGCGCGTGCTGCTCGCGCCAGGCAGGTAACGTATCTTATCCATGCTGTGATATTAGCATCCTTGACATCATTGTACGGTAGTGGTTACCTTTTGATGAGAGCTGGTGAACTCCTGAAACAACCTCATCCATATTTAGTTAGCACTACCACAAGGCAGTGATTGTTTCAACGAAATAGAAGATGTTGGAGCCAAAGATCTTTCTTTTGACCAGAAACTGACGATTTTTTTATTGTAACCACTACCATACTAAGATATATACAATACTACCTAGGCCACGTATAATGAGTTAGTTAATATACATTTGGTATCTAATTAAACGTCCATGTAATAATACTGTCCCATGAGTGCTGTTACTTCGCCCCACGTGCACTATTACTCCTATGGTCGCGATTGAGATTATCTATGACTCTATATTACTTTCTCAAAATGACAATTTAGAAAAGAACTAGCACAAGTAAGCTATTGTTATTGGCTGAGTAAAATGAGAATAGCTTGAAGAAAAACTTGAGTAAAAATAATGATTCATATTTGAGGTATAATTTCAAACTAGGTAGCAATTTCTATAACATACTTCTTGCACGTAAATAAGCTTCATCGTAATAAGAGAATGGGGACTTCACTAAGTCTTCAGCAAATTGCATTTTCTTTTGCATTAACTTGGTCATATTTTGGACGACTTCCAAATCTCGGATGGTGACAAAAGTTACATTTCTGCGCACACTTGCGACTCTCAGCTTCCGAAAATCAATGACGTTCCAATTATTATTTTTGGAATCTTTTAAGATATTTTCTCCAGATTCTCTTTAAAATATGCTTTCAGAATGATTTATGCATTCAGTTTATGAAGTCCTGGATTTTACATCCATTTCACTCTCTTTGAAAAATCGCTGCAAAATTCAACCCTCGATATGAATCACAAAGAGATCGCGAACCTCCATGGCGGCCATTCATAGTGCACTTAGGGCGCCCGCCAGCCGCGTACGGCGTAGCTGACGGCGGTGTGTGTTGGTAGCTAGCAGGCACTCATGCGTGACGGGGTGACTAACCGAGCCGGGGTGGCAGGCGAGGGCGGCGGCAGCGCCACGGCCGCGCGAACCCCCGTGAAGACCTTCCAGGCGTACCTGCCGCCGGCGCACCGCACCTACAGCTGTATACACTGTCGCGCGCACTTGGCCAGTCATGACGAGCTTATATCTAAGGTATATATATCTTTACATCTTTACATTACTGCTAAAACTTTCATATTTTTGTTTCACCCTACCTTCAACAGTTTTTTTTTATTATGCTTGTTACCTTTTATCTCTTTTTGAAAATATGCCTCTTTTTGTGTTAGCTCGTTTCGTATCATCGCCTGTTTAATTGGCAGCATCTAGGGATTTAAAATTCTCAACCCTTAACCATATCATCTAGTCTTCTACAAAGTGACCTTCGTACTTCTTTCCATTTGTTGGACGATTTTGGTTGGTGACACTGACACAAATGCCGTTCTACTTCTGTCAGTTACATACGACATGCTTAAATCCTACCACTTACACAAATTTCTACTCGTCGACAAGGAATCCAAAATGCTGACCCTGATACAACACATACATACATACAAGTTTGTCTCCAAAGTTAATTGGATTTTCTACATTTTTTTTTTTTTGTGAAAGCTAAATTGCTGATTTCCCTTCAAACTGAGCGTATTTTTAACTGACTTCTTTCTTTAATCGTTTTCTTTCTTTAGCGCTTATTAAACAATGAATCACTTCTGTCAATATACGTAACCAAAACATTTGAATTTGCGCAATAATTACCAGTATCTGTTATTGACACCAACAGAAATAGCTCGTGAACTCTTTTGTTTAAATGAATACGAACAGTAGTAATTAATCTTCATTTTTATGAAGTGCTTTGTGGCCTATTCGGTGACATTAATTGGGTCAACACACTAGGCCCCGTACATTTCAATTATTCCTATTATTTTAGCTTTATTTAGTATTTACCTAGGTATTTTGGTATTTAATGCAAGCACTGTTTTATGACGTAATAAGTAATTCCCTCTCGTGATCAAACCTTATAGTTTGGCGAGTTTAGATAAGGCCAAGTCTCTGCACAATTTCCTATAAAAAAAAAACAAATTTAAAAATCAGTTTCATTTCTTTCTTCTGCGGTTTTCTAGTAAGTTTATGATTCAATTCTGATTATTGTGAAATTCTTGGTAAATATTAGTCAACATAAGTCATTCACCTATGACTAAAATTATTAACAAGTTTTTCCCCAAACGTAGGATTAACGGTTAGTCTAACATGACTTTAAAAGTGCTAAAAAGAGTTTAGAAGTATGTATATAGTAAACCAAAGAGTAACTTGCTTGTCTAAGTTTTTGTAAAGTTTTACAATTAAAACAAATACTTATTAACTGATTTAAAATCTGTCACACAAAAGGCGTCACCATTTCTCATTCTTGCTAAATTCATCTGTTGTTCATTTTATTTCAAAAAAATAATCCAAAGGTGCAGCGTACATTGCTCACAGCCACTTTTTGTCATTTATTCATATCGTCGTCGTCGTCGTGTTCACGAAGATTTCTTTTTGTCATGATGCTATATTCTGACCCTGACAATTTCGAAATGGAAAACCCAATAGTACCAATTTTATATTAAACGGAAATCGAAAGGTACAAGGCTAACGATTGCTTATTTTTTTATTTTTAAAGTAAAATGTAGCATTAACAAATTATGTCTCTATTTTCCAGTCGTTTCAAGGCAGCCAGGGGCGCGCGTATCTCTTCAATTCAGTGTGAGTATTATAATATAAACGTCACTTTATTATTCCGCTTTAGTCATGCATATTTCATGTAGGCGACCTGCATGCTACTAGGATTTCAACACCTATATTAGCATTATTTATCTCTCTTACTAACTTGCAATATTCCATAGTGTTTGCGCGTTTCGTAAACAAATATGAAGGTAAAGATACAGACATGGTAAGGTAATATTACGAAATTATTAAAATTAAACTCTGATCTATGTTTTATTTTTAAATACATTTTCAATTCAACTCGTTTTTTTTTTATTCTGTACCCGCCAAAAGTCATTTCAAAAAATGTTTAAAGAACGTCACAACCAGTGTTAACGTTACTTGGAATTTTGTAAATATTTCACCATAAAATCCTAGAAATAATGTTTCGGTTTTCACAACATTTTAGGCTTTTACATTCACTTGATATTTTATTTTGTAAAAGCAAACTAGTTGCCGTCAAATATTTTACCATTTCAAACAAATATGAAAGCAAAACATTGACGAACGAAATGGAAAAATGGTGTGAATCTTTAATATTGTTTTTCGAATGCACAGATACAATTCGAATATAGACACAGCCAAAGTTATAACAGACACCACGTTGGTTTCTTTTTTTTTATAAACAAATAAAAAAGGTTGAATATATTTTTGATGTTTTGTTGACGCTGTGCAAGTGTGCGCGGTTGGCGCCATTGGTTGAGGGTTGGCTACTATAATACATATCATAGGTCGCATTCATTCTGGGTCGGGCAGAAATTGCTAATTGGGAAATAATTGTGAATATAATAAAGTGCGTGTATAATAAAAGCGTTTTGTAATACTTTTCAGTGTAAACGTGGGTTGCGGGCCGGCGGAGGAGCGTGTGCTTCTGACAGGACTGCATGCAGTCGCCGACATCTACTGCGAGTGCTGCAAGACGATGCTCGGATGGAAATATGTAAGTTAATTTTTACTTCTTATTTTAGATTAAAAAAAATGTGGCTAAGTCGTGCCGCGAAGGAACAGTATTTGTTGCCAGTGCCGCCCCTACTCTGTGGTCAGCAGCGCTCTCTGATAAACCTGAACATTTTAATCTGCGATCCAACCTGCCTGCCAATGGCGGAAATTGTGGAAACCCCTAATAAGCATATTATGTAGTACACAGCACATTAAGTCATCTTTTAATGCAACACAGACGTTCACTGAAAACAAGGATCGCAAACGGAAACATTGTCAAAAAAATTAATCAATGTTAAAAAGAAATAAATAGTCTTCTTTTTAACACACTTTGCCCCTCACTAAGATTTTGTCCTGTGTCATGGGTGCGTACACACATACAACACATATACATGACATCTAAATCCTAAAACAACAATTTGTGGACCGCACAAAGAATTACTCCGTACGGGAATCGAACCTGCTACACATTGCACGGTAGCTGGTTGCCTACCCACCGCACCAACCATGCAGTCAAAGCATTGAGCTTCTATAAGGCTGGTTTCCGAAAGCAATACCTGAATACCACCTACCTAAAATGTAAAATCTAGTCTTGGTCAGAAAAGCGATTCCCAAAAGCCGACCTGAATTCAATAGCATATCGCATGATATCGCAGCATCTGTATGCAACGTCAGTCTGTCACATTCCCTCTAATATTCCACGGGAGCGATCGTATACCGTTGCATAAGATCGTGACATTCATGCGAAAATCTAAAATATATGTAAACATGTTCTATATTAAGAGCCTCTTACAAATACAAAAAGATATCTTGATTTTAGTTTCAAATACGATAGTTGACAGGTAGTCAAATTCAATACTTATAATGAAATGTCAAAAACGATACTTTTCTATGAATTTTGTATTGTATCGCAACCTGTGACGTCATCATATTTCTGCGTCAATTAGCATACTTATTTCCATAAAATTAGCGAGAAAAAATCCAAAAGTAGGTAAATTGTCAAATCAATGGATGAGAGTATGATTATTTTTTAATTATTTATTGTATTGAAAAGTTGAAGCA